CTTGTTGTAGAAGAAATAAAGCCCCCAGTGTCACAGCGGCATGTCTGCGGAATTACAACGCTAGAATCCGGGTTTCGATACCCGTGGTGGGCAGAGCACGGATAGCCCATTGTTTAGCTTTGTGCTTAATTACAAACAAATAAACAGAAGAAATAAAATACCTTCATTTTCATTAAGATGAATATTTACAACACTACTATTAACAAACGCACAGGAAAATCTCGATGTATTTTTAATAACCATTTCCTCAGGTTATTTTCAACGTAACCAAACTCCTGATACACATTATTATAAATCTATAAAACAACTAAATGTTCATTAATAGATCATTTTCTCAAATACAAAAAAAAGAAGTTATGTTACGTTTTAACCTAATCGCACCAGCTATCGAAACGTCATACAAATAAATAGAAATACTGAATACATGTGACCAACAGTAAGAAAACTCAAAAAACGTAATAATGAGGCATTATTTTGAAGTAGACCTAACAGATCACATATTATAATTTTGCTTTAATGAATCTATTTTATCAACATATGCTTTTATTCAAAACATAGTACTGACAATTATAGCTACTATTGTTAAAAAATATGTTTCGCTTGTTAATCAAATATTCTCCTGTTTATAGGTAATGGTATGGAGTCAAAATTATAAAACGTATTTGAAGTATTTTATCATATGTTGAATGCTGTTCTTCATTACTAACTAATCCGTTCATCACCATCCTAAGAAATCACGTATAATCAATAATACGTGAATACAATACAATAATACGTATAATCAATAATACGTAATCAATTGTAACCCTCCATGAAGGAGGGTTACAATTTCTCAGTTCGCCCCTGAAGATGGAAGGACTAGCTACTATGAAGGAGGGTTACAATTTCTCAGTTCGCCCCTGAAGATGGAAGAACTAGCTTCCACGAAGGAGGGTTATAATTTCTCAGTTCGACCCTGGAGATGGAAGGACTAGCTACTATGAAGGAGGGTTATAATTTCTCAGTTCGCCCTTGAAGATGGAAGGACTAGCTTTATTGAAGGAGGGTTATAATTTCTCAGTTCGCCCCTGAAGATGGAAGGAGTAACTTTCATAATCTCTCCTGTTATGTGATTTCTTGTATTGTGCAAATTAATGTCGTTATTTTAAAAATGTAGGTAGGGTTTAGTTTATTTCTTGGTTATAACTATGTGCAGCTTCCTTCCTACAATGTCTAAGTAGACTACATCAAATAAAACCTTAGTTTAAGGGCTAGGACAAAGATTTTTAGCTAGGACTGAACTTACAATAGAAAATTCGGTGCTGTTTGCATTTGCTTTACATTAATGTAAATTATCATAAAATGTTGATAGCTGTTTTTCTAAGTGGCTTACTGTGAAGGATTGTGGCTTTGACATTTTAACAAATTACGTGTACCATACAATTATATCAATACCTGATGTTTTCTTTTACTTATGATGCTTTTTTTGTAAATACACTACAAAAAAGAATTAAAAGATAACTGGAATTCACAACATTAAAATATGGCAAGGCATAAATCAGTGTTATAAAATAATATTAATCAACCAGTTTTTTATGAAAAATTGTAACCAAAAACGTTACTTAATATATATCCATTTGTTTGTTTGTTTTTTGAATTTCGCGCTAGCCGTCCCTAATTTAGCAGTGTAAGACTAGAGGGAAGGCAGCTAGTCATCACCACCCACCGCCAACTCTTGGGCTACTCTTTTACCAACGAATAGTGGGATTGACCGTCACATTATAACGCCCCCGCGGCTGAAAGGGCGAGCATGTTTGGTGGGATGGGGATTTGAACCCGCGACCCTCAGATTGCGAGTCGAGCGCCTTAACCACCTGGCCATTAATATATATCCATATTGTTTTGATTTTTTTTTAGTTGTTATCTACTGAATTAAGATATTTTATACTAACAATAATGCAATTAAAAGAACATTAACTATCAAAGTTATTTTTTTAATATGAAAAGACTAGTTTTTTTTTAAAGTAAATATTTATAATCCAGCAAGTGAATGTTTTCTATACCTTAGCGCAAACTTTGCAACAGCCACAAGCGTCGTCAGTGAAACCAACACTGCAGTTTTTTGAATGGTTTTTACAGGTGGATTTATCACACTGGAGACAGCTCAGAGTCCAAGCTCTTCTCCTGCAAACACAATTATATATTGATCTATTTGAACTTCTTATATGATAAATTAACAAGCAATTTAGATTGAATGAAGTAAAACTACTTTATAGCGATTTTTTAACGGTGGTTAGTTGATTAATAGAAATAAATACATATGAACCAGGAAAGTAGTACTATAGCGAACTTAAGTGTTACTAAGTTAAATATTCTGAGTGATTAAATAAAAATGAAAACAAAATATGCTATTAGAAATGTTAGTAAAAGCAGATAGCACAATAAAGGAACTGTAAAAAATGCAAGTAAACTACGTTTTAGAGAAAAGTTATCAGGTTTCAGTACCAATCAGTTAACGTTTCTAAAGTCAATCGGAGTGTAAATTACATTATACTATTCTAGTGTTCTCAGTTTGCTCTAATTTTCCTTATAGTAGGCTGCAGGAATCACAAAAGAGGAAGATTTTTCACGGAACTGTCCTTGGAATTAAACAAGTGGTTGCGTGTCTACTGGAGAGAGTGAAAAAACTTTATATATGGTGTCTCGTTAGTATAACCCTAGCTCTATAGTTTTAGATCGAGAATCTATGATAACACAACCTATTACAACGTAATCTCAAACTGGAGCCTTGCAAAAAGATACCCCAAACAAAAAAGTCTCAAAAAATGCAAGAACTTTCTCCAAAGCTTGGCAAAATGAATCTTTATGGAATCTCAAGTCTGAAAAATAGCTGTCTAGCAAACAAATAATCTCAACGAGTCTTAGTAAATCGAGTTAGTAGTGGGCGTAATACCCAAAGAAGATCACGTGGTTTGCTATCAGAATAGACCATTGCTTCTAATTTTAGCTTTGTTCTTGCTACAAAGCAAATACGATGACCTTGGTGACTCATGCAGTCCTTTGAATAACGACATTAGTGGTTCCCTTGACCGATGTTCTCTACTAAAGATAAAGATTGAAACACAATGAAAACTTAAAACTATGTAGCAGCTGAAGGATTATAAAATGTATGTTATTTCCGTATACCACACTATTAATTAAATATTACATGAACCCAAGAGAATTTATTTAGATGCCTAGTATTTCCCTATGACGGCTTCTTCGTGAGGCTATCTTTCACTACAGACTTTTTGACATTACTTTTACTCTCTACTCCTTAAAATTAATTTCAGGATTTATATATCAGTTAAATTATGTTTGCTTGTTGTACTTAAACTTTGAAATAATTTGAATTAAGAATTGTGGTTACATACTTGTATAGTTGAAAATAGTATATCCATACTATTTTCAACTATACAATTATGTAACCACGGATATTATGTAACCACAATGTAACCACAAGGATATACTATTTTCAACTATACAATACTTGTTTCTTGAATCTTAGGTGTTGTTGCAATTCACTTTCTAGTTACTTAAAGCAATTTTAAACGTTAGTTACATTTCATTTGTAAAATTCTGAAGGTGAGCTGCATAGCAAGGGAATTTGTTATAAAAGTAGTAGGTATCTTGGTTTAAATATACAACACGTCTAAAATTTCCATCTATAGATGGCGCATCCATTTTAAAGCGAAATGGAACATTTAGTTTTCTTATGAGCACATGCTACATACGGGTTCACATTAATTTTATTTAAAACAATTGCTAAAAATATATTAAGAATACTTCCTAAAGATAAGTAGTATATTATAATTATAGCTAGCTATATTCTAATAATTACTTAAAGATTAAAAGATCTTCGACCAATAGTAACATAGCATGAATTACCCAATGATTAAGAGTAATAGAGTTGCGGCAAAGGTAAGGAAACGTTTCTCCATGATGAAATTGGACCTAAACAGAAAGAAAAGCAAAAGTTTATAGTGCAATGTTTTATTAGATAACTCATCTTTATTACAGTCAAATTAACCTTACTTTACTTTAAGTATTAAAGTAATATGAATAAGTACACAGAAACACACTTATTCTTGGAAGATTTGATATACGAATATATACATATTTTAAATGTATGTCAGAAACAGTATCACTTGAAAATTTGCATGAGCAACAGATAATCAGATAATTAGATTTGGATACATCAAAACATAACTTTAAAACATGTGCTCTTCTTGTAGCTTTGAGGCAAAATAATATATTGTTTGGAATTATGCACAAAGCTACGCAATGAGCTATCTGTGCTCTGCCCACCACGGGTATCGAAACCCGGTTTCTAGCGTTGTAAGTCCGCAGACATACCGCTGTGCCACTGGGGGGGGGGGCAATAATATATTGTAATCCACACAAAATATCTTAAAATCTGGTGACGCAATAAACTAATGATGAAAAACTTCTGTCTGTGAGATTGTTTCCTACTAGTTAGGAAATACTTGTTTTACAAAGCATTCTCTAGAATTTTATGTCTTCTAAAATCCTTTGTGTGATTATTTATTTATATGAAGCATAGCGATTCTTTTTCGATGACGAGGAACCCACTTTGAGACTAATAATGCTTGGAGACGGCTTGAATGGTTAACGAAGAAAATCTTTAATATAAGTTTAACATAACAGCAAATGTACAACGTTTCGACCTGATGATGACAAAACCTTATCGAAACGTTGTACATTTGCTGTTATGTTAAAGTTATATTAAAGTTTTTTTTCATTACCCATTCAAGCCGTCTCCAGCCATTATTAGCGATTCTTTCTTCTGTTGCAAGTAAAAACCATACAGCAGATGCAGTAAAGTACAAAGAATATGCAATAGGTTTTTCTGTACATAGAGTCGTAGCCATTTTAACTGAGAAAAGAAATTTCAACACATCCCACCATGTATAATTTCTGTTCCACAGACGCACGAAAAATTCCGTATGGATTTCCAAATATGATGCACGTCGCAAAAGTCCAGATGATGTTTTTCCTACGTGTCACATAGGGTCAGATCCCATTGACTGAGACAAGAAGATATGTAACAGCCTGAAATATGAACCAGTGTCCAGTTTTCATGCCTACTGATCTTATCCAAATTTAAAGATATAGATGAACTTGGGAAATCAGGACTATCCAGAAAGAGACATACAACAAGTTGTAGCCCAGCCATGCTAAGAAATATTCTTGTAACACTAAGGTCAGGGAGGAAAAGTCGTCTACGTGTCTCAGGCAACAGTACGCAATAAAATCAAGAAAACTCCCAAAGTCACCTGTACACAAGTTGTTTCCAAAACATCCATTGAACTGTTGAATACATCATGCAGCTGGAGAATGAAATGGATATTCATACTATAATATTCAAATATATGCCTATTGAGTTGATAGACGTAAGTACTGGGAAACCATCGTCCTCGAACACTACATGAATTATGGAAAGGAGCAGTGAGGAGTACAATGCTTTAGACATGATAGTCTTACGAAAGAGCCTTTTGAATTGATAAATGCGCTGCAGGGATATTTTCAAGATGCATTGTCATAAGATAACGCATGATTGGACGTGCTAGCATGAACTGTAATGACTTTGTGAGGCTACTAAATCATTTTAATATAACACACTCAACCTCTGTATTATAGGATTGTTTTACTTCGAGAGCTTTTTAATACCTTTGTTACCATATTATGATATTATATACATTATTATATTTTAAAACAAAAATAATTTGAGAGTAATTCATTCTTTTTAAGGCGTTCTCGTTATATTCTTAGAAAAAAATGAGACACAGATCAATTTTAGAAAGACTAGGATTTTTTTTTTGTACTATGATTTTTATAAACGCAATATTTCATTGAAAAAAATGAACAATCGGTCACAAATAAATTTTGCGAAATAGCATTTATAGCTGTATCAGTATTTGAGGTTAGTATTTTGAATGAATTTTCGTGAAACATATAAAACTAGAAACGGTAAAACGGTCAAATTTGACCATAAACTATATTAAAAAGATTCATTTAAATGAAATAGATTCACATCAGTTTAAGTTTTATTTTGCTTTAATACGGTGCACTCAAATTCAAAACGGAGCCAGATATGGGCTAGTGGTTAGCATGCTCGAACTATGAATTCGAGAGTCGGTGCGAAGACTCTGACATCATGCATGTGTGTGCTATAAAATTGACAGACATATCACACTGTTCTGTGAGACGAGAACAACTGGCAGTGGGAACTACTGAGTAGTTGATTTAACTGTAATCTATCAGTTTTAATATTAAGGCTGACTACGTTCACTTATCAATTTTTGTATCTTTGTAGGAAAATTCTTAACTAAATAAGTAAGACAAAAATGAGAAATAAGAGCCATTGAAGTTTTTAGGATTGCTTATTAGGTTGTTGCAAGTTCTTGGTATTTAGCGTTGTTTCACAAAGTGTCTGGTCAATAACATTCCTTTATTAAATAAGCTACTGTTTAAACTGTATTTCAGTAATAAAGAATAAGACTTAGGTAAACTAAACAGGCATGCTGTATAACACTTGCATTATATTGTTAAGTAAAACGCGAAGTGCTGTTTTATCTTCGAAATTTCCTGTAAAGGTGGATTTAGCTTTAAAAACTGCGTTATCAACAAACTATGAAAGGAACTAACTACATAGACCAGAATTAAAAAGTGGGTTAAGGAATAACATAGCTAATTTTATGTAGTTCATAAAGTAGGTATATGTAATGTTATAAAATGCATTGATTTATCAACTGGATACCTTCTCTGTTATCGATATTTTCGACCGTAATCCCCAAAACATCTTATGTAGTTCAACCAAATTAGTCAATTTAGGATAGTCCGAAATCCATATACTAAGTTGACGATGCAAAATAATCTTCGTCAATGTAACAAATAAATATAAAAGTAAAAATCATACAAATATTTATATGTATGATTATATTTGATTATGTATATTTATATGTATGATTATATTTGATTATGTATATTTATATGTATGATTATATTTCTCTACCAAAATAATTACATTAAAAAATAAGCTTACAAATCTAAATTTTAGTTCTAGCTAAATGATGTGCTGTATTTTAAGCAAAAAATTATAGTTTTTTATGCGATATTGTCTTCGTTAATCTCGACAACATCTTGTCTGCTCTACCATGTCACAGAGTTCGCACAGTCAAGGTAAATATATGGACTTTCGTATACCAATATTTGACTTTTAGCACCTGGAAAACGTTAGATATTTCCAGATATGATTACTGTGAATGAATAGTTTTACATAGGTACATAGCTGTTAGCCCCAAACAAACTGGCTTTACTCGTTCTTTGCGCAAGTATCAAATTTACGAGCAGCTGTTTTATCAGTTAGTAATGTGATGAACTGTGTACCATGCATTACGAACTTTTCAACAAAATAAATGTATATTCTCTTTTGAAAGTTGAAACTCCTTTTTCCCTAACTGTCTTTTATCGATAAGTTCCAGGAAGAGTATATCGTGCAATTTTCATGTTTTCTAGAATTAATTTATAAAATATAAATTCTTTTCAAAGAAAGTTATATGTAAATAATGCATAATGTTAATTTATTTCTTCACGCATAATCAGTGAAGATTGAATCATGTATTAAATTACACGAATATCACTACATACCTGAAGTACTATTGTATGAAATACTTTAAAAAGCAATATATGTCTATTGTAAAACTTCTCGAAAAATGAAAGCTGTCTCTTAAAATTCATTTGATATAAAACTGGTAAAAATAGAAATTATTATTAAAAAAATATATAACACATATATTTGTAGGAGTTAAAACTTGGGAATTAAATTTCCAAATTAAAAGACATTTTAATGACTTACCTCATCCTTCTCAAGAAGTGGACTTTAGGTCTTACTTTTCTTAACCCACAGAATAATGAGCAATTTGGAAGGAGAAATTATAAGTATATAAAATTATACCTAACATCTTTTGTTGACTTATGTTCCATTACAAATTAGAAAACATTGTTAAAACTTTGCCTGATTGCTTTTTTGTTGCTAAACACAAAGCAATACAATAAGCTATCTGTGTAGTGCCTATCATGAGTATCGAAACTCAGGTTTCAAATGTATAAACCTTCAAACTTAACGCTGAGCTATTGTGTGCGTGAGAGAGAGGAGGAGGCTGGTCAAAAGCATCAAGGTATTGTACCGTACTTTTTATTTCAAATAAGCACATATCGTGGAAAAGTTATGTGATATAAGTATGTTTGTTATTTCAAATTAATTAATTATTTAGTGAACACAACTCACTGATTAAAGATGATAAAATCGTTTGTCCACAAACAAAAAATGGATTGTAGCTACATTCAGTAATGATGGATTAAGTTTTAATAAATAAATTGAAAAATGTATTAGAATTGCTTATTTGGACAATTTTATATATCATACAAGTGAACTAATGTAGCTGTATTACTATAAGACCTGCTACTGCGTGGATCTCTTTAGAATTATTGAAGATCCAGATAGTATGATGAAGGATGAGAGTTATACTAATGGTAAAATGTTGGGTTTAGTATAGTAGGCCTTAACATCTTGGTATTTGAGTCCAAACATCATATTGGGGGCTGGAACGTTAACTTCAATTGTAGTATTGTGTATTCTAATTATTTACTATCTTACTTTTTTTCAATTTTGTGTGTGGGTGTATGTGAACAACCACCTTCCCACTTCTAGTTGCAGACAGCGAAAGGTGGTAAAAATGTGCGACATTGTGGAATTGAGCACCCACTTCTACTCCTCTTCTCTTTTTTTAAGCATGTGAAACCGGCAAAATTGAGGGTAAACTAGATAGACGGTAGACGGTGTACTCCAAATACAACTTGGGTCTTACTTTCGTCTGTACCTTTAAAAAACACATAAAAAACAGGACACATTACATACTAACCCACCCTATGATTTATGACCCGATGTTGGATATTTATTTTGTGACTGCGTTTTATCTTTTTTAAGTAAATTTGTTCGCTTTGTTATTTACTTGTTTTGTTTCTATTACGTCAAAAGGAAGGAGAGTGTGAATTTTACACAATATTACGTCAAAAGGAAGGATAGTGTGAATTTTACACAATATTACGTCAAAAGGAAGGATAGTGTGAATTTTACACAATGTATCAAAACATTGGAGGAAATAAATATTTTTGTAGCAAGGAAATCTGTTTCAAATATTTTTATAGCTTACTTACATATTAAAATTGATATCTACTATAAACATTTCATCAAAGCGAAATTCAAAAATGAATATTATTCTTTAGTGCCGTAGTACTTGTTTCTTGATAACAGAAACACCTCAAAATGCTTCGTTTTGCACTCACTTGAATACCTTAATATTACCATAATCTATTTTCTACCAATATTAGCAACAGAAGTTCTGTATCTAATTATTCTATAAAATAACCCAAAACAATATCTTTTCACAAACTGAACTGATGCTTTTCAATGGCAAAATCTATTTCTTTTTATCCTAATTGCTAGTTGATTTTCACAAAATCTGGCAAAATATTTTTCGTGCTTCAACTATAATTTACATTTTCTGTTCTTTCACAGAAAACCTAGGTGAAGAAAACGACACAGTTGCTCGTGGTGGTTTGGTTTATAGTAAAAGAGTTAAAATGCAGAGTTAAAAATCCTTTTCATGGTCCATAGAGGTTCCAATGTACCGATTATGCTCCTCCGTTAACCCCCCGTTACTTCTATAGCTACTTTAAGGGGGATCCGTACCCGAAAACAAATCCAGTTAGGGGACCAGCCTGTGGTACCTTAACACATTTACCAAGGTTGTTTGCGTTAGCTTGTGAATGGCAATATAAACATACTTTCAAAAATTGTTGTTGTTGTTGTTGTTGTTTTTCTGCTTGCTCCAAAACTGTGGGTATACTTCGTGTATAAACAAACAAACAAACAAATAAATTCACACACAACCTGAGGTACTACAGGACACAGTACGTAATACATTACAGTTAGAAGAACCACCCCGTTGTTTTAGTTATTTTTTATGTTGAAACTAATTATTTTAAAAACAAGTATAGTTCTATTAATACGTGATTATTAAAGTCAAAATTTCCGAATACATTTTAATATTGAAAAGGAGTAATTTCTTATTGTAAGTATACTGGTGGATTTAAGAATTATTATAAAAACGATAAAAACCAATATCTTCAATATTATATACAATGTACGCATGTGCAAAATATTGTACAGCAACAACATTTATAAAAGCTAATATTCATCATTGTTAGTATCCTCATAGCAATATGAAAAATTAATACGAATTTATGCACAACGCCTTGTTCGAAAAAGAAGAGTAGGTGTTTATAAGAAGTTTGGAAAAATCTAAAGATCAACATTTCCTACGATAAACTGCAAGTGATTCGTATAAATTCAGGTACAAGTAAAATACAAGACGAATCATTTCGTAAAACAGGTAAATCTATGTGTTTGCAATATTTATAGCATGCTTGGTATTTTCAACCTGAAAACCACCTTGACGACACAAGAGTTAAACGGTAAGGTCGGAGGCCTAGAATTCAAGTATAACTATACCTAATTTATAGGTGCTGACCAGAGGGGAAACAACACGACAGCTACTTGCCGCTTGCTTGGGGACTCTTAATCGAATTACGGGAATGACTGTCAGAATCATGGCATCCCCATAGCTGAAAATGTAGAATGTGTTCAGTGGAATTGCGTGATTCGAGCTTTGAACTTTCAGATACGCAGGCTTAGATACTAACCACTAAAGTCACGGTGGATCAGTCCCAGAATATACATAGAACAAAAACCTGCTAAATAAATATTTTATGAATATGTTTTCCTTACCTTAGTTTTAATTCTAACCTAATGATATCGTATAGACCTTCTGCTCTCGTGTTAGTGGTTGAGCTCCGGAGACACAACTAACTAAAAAAGAAATTCACACTCCTATGAGGTGACGCTGCTACATGGCTAGAATGACAGTCAGATGAACAAATGAATAATATAGCTTTCAGAACACGAAAAATTGTGTGCCAAGTGAATTGATAGTTGCGTGCTTGGAAAGTGAGAAAGCCCCCCCCCCCCAAACCGTAAAATTGAAAAAAAACCGCTGGAAAAGAAGGGGGAGGTTAGTTTAATTCAAAAGCCCGCGGAATTAAAAATC